AACGTTCTTAAAAACCCTTATGGCAGTGACCACTTCCCAATCATCCTGAGTGCGCCGAACAAAGATAAACTACCCCCGCAGGTTCCTCGATGGAAGATTGACTCAGCTGATTGGGAAGGGTATAGAACTCTTACACACATGACATGGACTGAGCTGTCTGCCCTGACCATAGATGACGCTGTCACGTATCTTACAGCTTTTATACTTGATGCCGCATCTAAATGTATTGCCAAAACGAGCGACATGTCTTCTAAACGGCGAGTCCCATGGTGAAACGACGCATGCAGGAAAGTACGGACCACTCAGAACAAAGCATGGGCGTTGCTTCGCGATTCCCCTACAGCAGAAAACATGGAAAATTTCAAGCGGGTCAAATCGCAGGCAAGGAGAACGCGTCGACAAGCTAGACAAGAGAGCTGGACAAAGTTTATATCCAGTATCAACTCATACACAGATGAGGGAAAAGTGTGGAATAAGGTGAAGAAAATTAAGGGCCAACAAACGTATTCACTTCCACTAGTAAATAGCCTCGGGGAAAGCTTGGAGGATCAAGCCAACTTTCTTGGCACACATTTCGAACACATATCGAGCTCCTCACACTACTCCGAATCCTTCCAGAATTACAAGGCACGAATAGAAAAACAAAAGTTAGAACTGCGAACAGCACTAAGCTGCTGTAATACATCTACCCCAGGTTCTGACAACATAATGTACGCGATGCTGAAGGAACTACCCTCTGAAACTAAAGAAACCCTCCTCTCTCTTTATAATCGCATATGGTTTTCAGGTGTGATCCCCTCCTCCTGGAAGGAGGCTGTTATAATTCCAATTTTAAAGCAGGGAAAGGATCCCTCTACTGTATCAAGTTACAGACCTATAGCGTTAACAAGCTGCCTCTGCAAACTATTTGAAAAAATGATTAATTGCCCCTTACTCCACTACTTAGACACAAACAAATTGCTCGACCCATACCAGTGCGGGCTTAGAGAGGGCCGATCTACCACCGACCATCTTATACGTATCGAGGCACACATACGTGAGGCTTTTGTTTATAATTAATCAGTTTTTCTTATCTGTGTTCCTCGACATGGAGAAGGCCTACGATACTACGTGCAGGTTTGGAATATTGAGAGACCTCTCACACATAGGTATACACGGTAATACGTTCAGTGTCATTGAAAGCTATCTGTCTGATCGTACATTCCGCGTTAGAGTGAGCAAGGTTCTGTCTCGAACATTTGTACAGGAAACCGGAGTGCCACAGGGTGGGGTGCTCAGCTGTACGCTCTTAATTATAAAAATGAATTCTCTTCGTCTGTACATCCCACGTAATATCTTTTATTCAACATATGTCGACGATGTGCAGATAGGTTTTCAATCGTGTTCTTTTGGGATCTGTGAGCGACAGGTTCAGCTCACCCTTAACAATGTATCCAAATGGGCTGATGAAAACGGGTTCAAACTGAACCCACAGAAAAGCACCTGTGTCCTTTTTTTACGAAAAAGAGGCTTGCACCCTGATCCTGAACTGGTCGTTAAGGGTGAGCGTCTACACGTAAACACCGAACATAAGTTCCTAGGTATAATTCTAGATGCGAAGTTAACCTTTGTACCGCACATAAAACATCTTAAAAATAAATTGAATATCCTAAAGGTGCTGTCAGGAACAACGTGGGGCAGCGACAGAAAGTGCCTCATGAATCTGTATAGAAGCCTCATACGCTCACGCCTTGAGTATGGGGCAATAGTCTTATCACTCTGCCACGCCAAGCGCTCGGAAAATGTTGGACCCTGTTCATCATCAAGGCATCCGCCTGTCCACAAGCGCCTTTCGAACAAGCCCAGTTGAAAGCCTTTATGTAGAATCGGACGAGTGGTCACTCCATCTGCTGAGAACATATTCTTCCTTCATATATTTCCTTAAAGTAAATGCGAACAGTGAGCAACCCGCATATTCCATCATCAACGACCTGTCCAGCTCTCAACTTTTTTGCAATCAGCCCGCAATGGCATGCCCTTTCTCGCTGCGTGTTAGAGACCTAGCTGAAGAAACAGATGTCCCGCTGCTTGAATACCACCTGAGCCCCCCCGCTCTGCGGCTCCCGCCATGGCAGTGGCAGGTTATAGACTGACACATCTTTCGTAGTTGTCACAAAGCATGCCTCCCCCATACACATTCCGATGTATTTCTTAGAGCTGCAACATAAATATGACTGTCCAGAATATTATACTGATGCATTCAAGTCCCATACTGGCGTGTCCTATGCGGCGGTCGGCCCATCCTTCTCGGATGCCGGCGTTCTGTCCACCAGCACAAGCATTTTTACAGCCGAGGCTTACGCGTTATTCGTAGCCGTTAAACACATCAAAGAATTGAATACGTCAAGAGTAGTTATATACACAGACTCCCTGAGTGTCGTGAAAGCGTTGAAAAATCTAAAAAAAACACAGAAACCCTATAAATATATTCTCTATTCAATACTCTGCGCGGCCTATGCTTCCAAGCAACATATCATCGTGTGCTGGGTGCCAGGACACCGCGAGATTGAAGGAAATGTGTTGGCTGACCAGATCGCCTTGTCAATGAATGGAAGCACTGCCAACTCTTCAGTTGCTGTCCCTATAATGGACCTAAAACCAAACATACGGAAAAAACTCAGGGCTTACTGGCAGAAGGTATGGGACCTACAAACTCATAACAAGTTACACTTGATTAAACCATACCTCGGTAACTGGCCACCCATGTCGAAAACGCGTGGTACAGAGGTCAGTCTCTGTCAGCTTAGAATAGGACACACACACAGCACGCACACACACCTTTTGTCCGGTGGTGACCCACCCAGCTGTCACAGATGTGGCCTTCCACTTACCGTACTCCACATACTCCTTGAATGCTCTGAGCTAGAGGCTTACAGGAAAAAACATTTTCCACTAGCGTACAAGGAACACATACCCCTTCACCCAGCTATGTTTATTGGTCGCGAACCTTTTTTTAAATATAATGCATTGAATGCATTCTTAAAGGAAGTAAATACTATCCATGTTATCTTCTCAAGTGATCGGTAGCACAGCCTCTGAAAGGAGGCTGCTGCTGCGGATGCTACATCCAAAAGAGCACCTGTCTCCCAGCCCTTGGGACCAAGGGCGCTGGCGAGAAATCGGTGCTAATATAATGCTCCTATTTTATGATGTCATGATAACTAAAGACTCATTCTCACTAGGCATGCTTCACTTCACTTTCATGATTTTAATAAATGTTTGTCTTACGCACCTTTAGAGCGCAGAATTTTAGGCCCTTTTACAGCCATTTACCATAACCATTGCTCTCATCCGGTATCATTTCCTGGCGCTGTTTCGCCATCAATGGCCCTTGCGCCATTAAACAACATATATCATCATCATTGCTCTGGTGCAAGCCAACGCCTCCAACCTTACTGGGCCACTGGAAACTTTGAGGGCGATTGCCTTGTTCTTGCAGGATGCCTACTCGCTGTCGCAGTTTGGCAGAACGTACTTTCGCCACACATCGAATAACCGCTGGTCGAAATGTTCAAAGCACTCTTTTTCGTCACGCTGTGAAAAGCACGCGCAGACACCGAGGAATTGCCCAAGTTGGCAGCGCCGGCGCAAAGCGAGTAACACGAGAAAGCCATCATCGCGAACTTTCCCTCCCAAGGCCACTTACGCATGCGTGCGCGCAACATGTAAGCGAGAAGTGAGGTGTGTTTGCATGTGCAGGTGCCAATTGTCGTGTGCTCAGGGACCATTTAGCAGCGCGTTTGAAGTGCTGCACGGCCTCTGATTTCGGCAGTACAGTAGACTCATTAAACGAAACCTGAAGGGATCGAAAAAATGTGTTCAGTTTAACAGGAGTTTCGTTTACTGAGAGGTGAAGTGGGTTGTAGCATTCAAGTATGAAACCAACCATATCAGTGGAAGTTGTTCCATTTAAGCAGCAGTTCCCTTTAACAGATTTCCGTTTACTGAGAGTCTACTGTAGTAATTGGGACCGAAACACCTGTTGCGTCTACCGATGTTACAGACAGAAATCTGAAAAGATTTACAATATACAAGGACCTATTGGGATTTTTTGCGTCCCCTTCATAGAAGCGCATGTAAAAGATAGCAACAGGCTGAAAGCGTCATTTGGCGAGCTTCGGCGTAAACCGCATTCCTGCGTTGCTTTATCGTGTTGTCCTCACGCGCTGCTGCAGCCTGGAAGTTTGTCCTCCTCAAATATTCTTGCTCCGTGCCTCTAGCACATGTGTCTCCTGCATCCAACCAGAACATTGGAGATAGTTTTTCTGATACTTGCCAATGAGTAACAAGCTCTGAAACTTGAACATAAGATTCCTCTGAACGTTTTTAGATATATATGTGTTTAGGTAGGGGATAACGGCAGAACTAAGGACACACACACACATCGTGTGTGTGTGTCTTCTTTCTTGTGGGTGTGTTTTTGTCCTGTTATCCCCTTGCTCTACTACGAACCAACTTGACAAAAAAAGTTTTGATGTGTTTAGCTCTTGTAAATAACCAAGATATGACTGATTTGCTTTTTTTTTGCTCACCTAAACTTTGTTTAAATCGTGTCTTAAAAGCTATTTAGGTAATTCACAGGAGAAGAAAAGTGCGTTCCAACAAAAATAAGGAAGGAAAAAAAATAACAAAAAGAGGTTTATTCTGTCGTAAACTTCATTTTATCAACGATCGTTACATCAAGGTATGACAGTATTGTGCAAGCTTGGTACGTGTTTGATAGACAAATGATCATTCCTCTTGATGGATAAAATCAGCGATGTGTGTGTGTCTCTCTTTTTGTGTCTTTGTCGTGGTGCGCTATACCCTTATAAATCACTTTAAAGCATCAGTATCTATCATTCAGTGGCCCTTCAAGGGACTTTCTTTTCCTCCAGTACTGTATTGAAAAGAGTTACTTTGTGTTTTCATTTATTGCAAGGTAAGTGATACTCAGACTGCGTTCAATGTGTTTCCTGAAGCTAAGTGAGGAGGAGCTGGCCAGGCGCAAGGAGCAGGCGCTGCGCATCAAGCGACAGCTGGAGGAGAAGCGCAAGGAGTCGATGCAGCCTGCGCTTACCAAGCCCAAGAAGCTGGAGGAACAGTACGAGGACCTGTACCGTAGGCTGCAGGGAGGTCAGTGCCTGCTGTCACTGACTGCTCACCTCGAGGAAGCGGCTGAGCCAGAATTTTCTCTGCTAAACAATTTACCATATGTATTTTTTGTCCATTAATATCTCAACGTATCTCAAATGGAATTGCCAATTTTACCAACTCTCTCATATTTTTTCTCTGCTAAAAAATTTATCATTGGTATTTTTTGCCCATTATTTTTTCTCAAAGTATCTCTAATGGAATTGCCAATTTTATCAACTCTCTCATATTGAGGTCTAACTATAGTACTCTGTCAGTGGGATTAAGTTATTCTTTTAACGCACCTACGAGAAAATGACGACATTGTGCAGCATGATGTCACTTGAAACTTCACTTGAGCATTTGAGTAATTGAACACTGGGAAAACAGGAAAAATGCTTTAGGAATGTCAGCTTGGTAGACACTACGCTTTGGCACTGCAATTATTTGCACCCTCTGAAGCCTTTTGTGCATGCAAGGAATTCACTTATATGATATTGGTTATCAGTTAGTGCTTCTAGTGCTAAAATTGTTGATACCATCCTTTCATGCTAATTGTATGGAAAGCTGTTTAATATTCAACAGGTATTCAAAGAGCAGTCAGCATTTCACATTATTCTGGCAATATATTTGACTCCTATATTCGGTCATCACTCTTCACAGTGCAAGTGTTGTGCTCCGTTTTTTCGTTATAGGGTGGGGTGGTTTATTATTCACGTGTGCCCAAAGCATACTTTCGTGCTGTGTTGTGCAGTGCAGTACATTGAGTCCGAGGAAGAGGACGACGAGTACGAGGATGAGGAGGACGAAATGGACGACTTTATCGATGACACACCACAAGATATCGACTACTCTAAGCACATCCGTGAGATCTTTGGCTACGACAAGAACATGTTAGTGTACTTTTTTTCTTCTTCTTTGACCCTCACTCATGCATTGATTTGGTTCGTTCTAGCAAAATCAGTGACAAATCGGTGTTGTCGAAAAAAAGTGGTACTCTCAGCGATATTTACCGGTTACTATTGAGATTGGACCAAGGAATGATGTGGCAATTGTAGCATAGTGTATAGCGACCTGCTTATAGTGTCTAGTAATGGATATCAGCCACGTTACTACTCACTCATGCGGTCAGTGCCCCGTATGCTTAGCCTTGGAGGCCGATGGTGCAGATCTGTTCGATGGGGCAGGTGTGAATTAGAAATCGCAGCTGCAAATATGTGTACAGTATTTCAGAATAGAAATTATATGGAGGTGGTGTTAAATTCAGGGAAAGCATTAATATTTGTTTTATTTACTTAGGTACACTGTAATTGGTCTTGTTCAATATTTTTATGTGAAAATGTGATTGACTTTTGATTTTTCATTTCTGAAAGTTTGTATTATTTAGAGAAAATTCTTGGGGTGAAGGGAGTAACAATGACGTGTAGTATAGCTAGCTTTAAATACTAATTCAAATGTATGGTAATTAGGAATCATATGTGTTCTGAATTAGGCTGAAGCCCTCTGATAGCATTTATCTCCTGACCAACAGTACACAGGCTTCGTAGCGGTCCTTGAAACTCTTGAAAACCCTTGAATTTCGAAATGGCATCTTCAAGGCCTTGAAAACTCTTAAATTTGTTTGAGGTCCTTAAATGTCCTTGAAATTCGTCTGTCCAAGTTTGTTCAGCCATAATTTAGTGGATTTATTTTATGCTGCTGGCAATTATGTGCTCTAAAGTCAACAAACCATTCAATCCAATTCGTTTCTCTAGCCATATTGCACTGTTGTACAAGTACAGTGTACTCTTCTAGTACACTGTAGTTGTGTTAGTGCCTGCGTGCTTACAGCACCAATGACAGAGCTAAGCCTGGCTTTTTTGTGCACACTATGCAAGTGTGCGCGGATATACGGTGGAACTATGCCAGGCAAGTGTGAATTCTAGCTGTCTTGGTTATGCATTGCTGCTTATTGGGAGTGGATTGCACCGGATACATCAAACTCGCATCAGGCAAAGTGTAAGCTATGTGGGAAGAGCTTGGATGTGTCATCATTTTGGAAGTCTGCCCTCAATAGTCACATAAAGAGTTCAGAAATCATTGAGAACACAAAAGCGACTATACAGTCTATGGTAACTTGAGTGCGTTCATGGTGCTAACCGTACAAATAAAATAAAGTACAAATTTTCATGCTGTAAAAAGTGTTGTTCTCGTTTTCTGCGGTTTCAAGTGTTATTTTAGGTCCTTGAAAAACCTTGGAAACCCTTGAATTTTGTTTCACTCAGGTACTATGAACCCTGAGTACAGTCCAATGTAATTGTACCAAATCTAAACGCTGCTATGTGGCAGTTGTCATGATGAAAGTGGAGGGAGAGGAGAGAATGAATGGAAAGGAAATGCAGCTTCCAAGTGCTGTGGTCTCGAAATGAGAGCCTCCTCTCCGCTCATGAAACAGACGGAGACAGCAGATGTGGTTAAACCAAACTGACATTGTGTGCAATCATTCAACTACTTCTACAAACGAAGATATCGCCAGCCAGATTGAAAACATCACTGGTGACACGTTCAAACAACCTTATACAATACTCAAATGCATTCAACCACAAACACACAATAACGTAGAGCCGGTGCCGCTAATGATTGACTGACCGCGACCTGTAGTTGCCATATTCTGCAGACTCCCGCCAGGAAATGACCATCCAAGCCAGCCGCCAAATGGCAAAAAAAAAAAGACTCTCGAAAGTGCAGGACGGCATTGCTGTTGCTACTTTGCTAACCATAATGATGATGATAATCATAATGATGCTAACTATAATGATGATGAACCTAAACGCAGCCTATCCGTGAGACAAATGCACCACGAGGCACAAACTCTTCATATAAGTACCTCGGCGTTTACATTACCAACAATCTATCTTGGCACATGCATGTTACCTACATCTGTAATAACGCTAACCGAACGCTAGGATACTTACGCCGCAACTTTTCTCGCGCTCCGCTGTCCCTCAAAATTCTATTATACCGATCACTAATTCGCCCAAAGCTTGAGTACGCGTCCGCTATATGGGATCCCGTGCAGCAAAATTTAATTAACGCTTTAGAATCTGTTCAGAATCGCTCAGTTCGGTTCATTTCAGAATCGCTCAGTTCGGTTCATTTGTTCTAATTATTCCCGTACTGCTAGCATATCAGAAATGAAATCTAACCTTGACCTACCCAATTTAACTGTCCGAAGGAAACTGGCGCGACTGCATTTTTTTCATAAGATATTTTTTCACAATCCATCAATGAAGCGAGACCTCATTTCACAACCGTCATACCACTCATCGCGCATTGATCATCAGCATAAGGTTGCCATTCCGTTTTGCCGCACCAAATTCTTTTCAGCAGCCTTCTTACCGAAAACAGCCGCCGATTGGAACCACCTTCCCTCTTCCGTTGTAACAATAACAGACCCTTTGTTATTCAAGACTGCAATTTCTCAGCAATGCTTGTAACTATACGCAGTTTCCATTATCTATCTTTGTCTTGTATGTGCTTGAATTCTTATACATTTTTAGTTGACTTATGTTGCCTTCCTGATTTGCGCATCTGACACTTGTTTCTTTATTTTGTCTTCTTTTTCTTGTGTGTTATAAATGTTGTACCCACCCCCTCTGTAATGCCCTACGGGCCCTGAGGGTATTCTAATAAATAAATAAATAAATAAATAAACGATTTTACAGGGGGTGATAACATCCTCCACAGAGTGCATGGCAAAGCATCATAATTTTCAAGTAAAAAGTAATTAAATCACATGGGGGTATCGCATCTACAATGAAAGTGCATAGATAGTATGTACAGCACCATCTATTCCTACGGTAATTTTGACGGCATTTCCTCGGACCTGTCATTGTCAATTGATGCGAATGGTTGCATCTTGCATATATATGGTTTGATTCTCAGATATGCATGTCTGCTTGGTCTTCATCAACATATTTGCACAGTGCAAGACTACAAGTAGTTACGACGTAACTACAGAAGAGACAAGGACAAAAAAAGTGCTGACGACAACTGAAATTTTATAAGCAAAAATGCTGAAAATATATATACTCGTGACAGAACATCACCGCGCAAGTGCGCAACCTATTGCATCACAGCAAGACAATCATCTCATTATATGGTTACAATGCCACAGCTCAGCAGAAAATTCACGAACTATTGTGTCAAAGCCAGAAACCTGATTTCTTTCTTAGTCAGAGCAAACGAAGGCATGCTGATACATCGATCACCCAGCATTTGCATTTCATTGGCTTCCATAATCTCTCCTGTTAGCTGCTGACGATGTTTGGCTTTAACAGCGCACTTATCGAATTCTGGTCTGCAACCACAATGTCTACAATGGATGCCCAAATGACCTTGCACAGCTGAGTATACATTGTAATGATGCTCCTTTAAACGCTCATTCAGGCACCGGCCCGTTTGCCCAACATATATGTTGCCACATGACAACAGGAGCAAATAAACGATGGCTATCACGCATGCTATGAATATCCTTCTATGTTTGACTGTGCAGCAGCTACTTCATGTGGACTGCGCATTCACCCGTTTGCAGAGCGCTAAAAGCTTTTCTGGGGCAGGGAAAACAACCTTCACATCTACCTTATCGCCTGTCTTTTTTAAATTGTGAGAAATCCTATGTAGATAGGGAACCACAGCCACGCGCTTTGAGCTACTAGATATGCAGTTCACTGGTGCTTCTCGTCCCTGTTTAATTGTCCTAAGCAACTTTTACGCCACCGAAACCAGCACATGATCGGGGAAACCAGCGCTGATCAGACGTGAAGCCTGCTCAACGAAGCTGCTAATTAATGAGTGGCTGCAAGACTTTCAGAGGGCATTTCTTAAACAATGACTTGCAATCCCTCTCTTTACGAGCTTTGAATGAGCCGTCAAGTATGGTAGGAAAGGTTTGCTTCCTCTAGGCTCATATTTCCAGCAAAAGTGATCACTTGAGATGTTTAATCTCAAATCTACAAACCTTAACGAAGCATCCTGCGGAAGCTCATGTACCAGAATGGGAGGTGCCATGCACTCATCGAAAAGATGCAATATGTTCAACACGGCTGCTTCAAAGCCCCGATTATCGCAATATAAAAGCACAAGAAAATCGTCAACAAAACGAAATACCTTTACGACAGCTGTTCTGTCGAGGTGGCTAGCCAAGAGTCGGTCATGGTGAGCGAGAAAAATGTCACTTAAAACAGGTGCTATGCATGAACCGATGCACACTCCTCTTTTTTGAATAAAAGTGCCTTCGTTCCATGATACTGTAACGAACTCTTCAATGAACTCTTTTAATAGGCTAACAACGTAGGCAGGGCGAACTTGTGCCCGAGAATAATAACACAGCTAGATTGTCTCGAGGATTCACTTCTGCCTCTTCTTCTACGTTCTTCTTTTTTCCAACACGGTTCGCGCGCAGCTGGGTCCCGCAGGCTCGTGCGTCGCAAATCATCTAGAAGGCACAAGTATTTGCTAGCGCGCGTAATTTGAAGTCACATTGTGTCATTGCCCCCCTTTCCAGAGTGCATCATCCCGATGCTTGTGTCGAACTGGTTGCATGGCAGTCATTCACAAACCCTCGTCGGGGATTTCGTTAACGTCAAAGAACGTTGTATCTTCAGTGTTTCATTGCCTGTCGTGATATGGTTTCATCCTGACGACATGCACAGTTTCCGTGCGATGCCGCCGTCGGGATGAAATATCCTGTCCCTCTGGCATAACTTCGTAGTTGAGCGAGCTGACGCGGCGGAGCACTCTGTACGGACCGAAATAACGGCGAAGCAGTTTTTCTGACAGGCCACATATTCTTACAGGAATCCACACCCATACTCTGTCTCCTGGTGCATACTGGACGTCTCTTCTTCGCAGA